CACATAAACACATGATATTAATGGCTAATGACACAGTAAAAAACAAACAAACGATACGAATTGGAATTATCTCATCTTATCCGGTTGTTTGTGTGTCATATGATATTGCTGTCTCTCCAGATAGGATATGATGATGATCTAGAAACAAATTTTTTTTTTGTCCTATGGATGACTCACATAATCATCGTGGAAATATTCTCAATATAATAATTCTGGATATTTTTTCCTGGGTGTCTATGAAAATTATAATCTTTTTCTTCTCTTTTTGATTCTTTGTTTGTTTTTTTTTTTGTTTTGTTTCCATAATAATCATCATCATCACTATCATTATGATTACAAGTTTTTGTTTGCGGGAAAAAATCTTTACTCCAATTTCTTTCCTTAGCAAACAAACAGCGAATACGAACAGAGCACACCCAGTTTGATCTAGATACTACATTCACAAAAAAACGTAATTTTTCCAAGTAAAGAGGAAAGAGAAAAAAAATACGCAATAAACATGAGTTTCAATAAATAATAAATATTCTGGTTGTAGTAGTGTATAGTGTGAAAACACCACAAAACATACCTGTGGGTAATCATTATCTCACTGTGTGTGTCCCTTTTTTTGGTGGGCAGTTTTTTTTCCAATGAATATATTTAGATGATTGACATGTTTATAAATTTTTGTTATGTTTGGAAAATTTTTTTTTCTCTCAAGAAAACGAAAATTTTGTACATGAAACGATGATGATTATTTTTTTCCACATCACCAAACACACACTGATCTCGCATCCATATAACAATTTTTTCGAGCTCGAAAAAACTTTGATTTGCAACAAAGATCCCGAGAAAAGTATAGCAAGCAAAAAAAATGACGATGTTGTTGATTTGAAACTTGAAATAACAAATGCAAACACAATGAAACAATAGAAATATAGAATTCTTGGAGAATCATTTCATGTTCTGAAAAATCATTATAGTGATGATGGTGATAATCAAATGCAAACAAACGAGTGAACGGAACAATCTATTAAAACCATGTTTTATTTGTATGTTTTTGTCTTATTATTTTTGATTATGATTATTGATAATAATAATCATCGTAAGAAATGTCATGGCATCGGGTTTTTTTCCATTTGTATCTCATAAAACGATAATTCTACAATTAAACCAAAACAGAAAGAATCTTTGTGATATATTCTCTCTCTCTCTCTCTCTGTATTTTATGTGTTGTTAAATTTAGCACATTCAAGGAAACTGAATTTATATTTTTAGCCACACACTGAAATGGTGAGAAAAAAAATCATGAACATTAAGATCATGAAGGCCAATGATGATGATGGTAATGATGAAAGGATCAAAAGAATATTCTTTTGAAATATAAAAAGCAAAAAAATGAAAAATAATGTATTTTTTCTCATTTTTTACACGAAAAAAAATTTTATCAAATGAATCCAAATAAATCAATAAATGATGATGTTTATTTATTTTTCTTGAGAAAAGAATTAAAAATCCTGCTGCTTCATTGAACAGAATTTTTGCTTATGTGAAAGAGATAGAATTGAGAATTTGGAAATAACCAATCATCATCAGTTATTATTATTGTTGTTGTTGTCAATAAATTTTTTTTCCAGGTTATATTGTGTGACTGACTGATTCAAGCATCATCATCATCATTTTAGCCGAATATTTTGTTTTTATTATTCATTCTCGAGAAAACTCTTTGGCTGATGGTGGTAATGCGTGTGTGTGTTTGTTGGTGCTTGAAGACAGAAACAAGCAAAAAAAGATAGAAAAATTGTCAAAAAAAATTCAGTGATGAAAAATAAGAAAATGGAGTATGTGTGTGATAGAATAATGGCTTTTTACAAAATATTGTCTATTCATGCAGAACAAAAATAAACATTATTTTGTTGTAAAGAATTTTTTTTTCGAGAAACAAACACTGCGTCATCATTATCATCAATGTATTCTGTGTTCTGTATTATGGTAGTGGTGGACGAACGATAGAAATTCATCAATCAACCAAACCGGTTGTCAACCATTATATTTGGCAGTTTTTTTTTTGCTGCGAATGATAGTGATGAAAAACAAGTGAATGTTAAAACTTACCTCCGGTTGTTGTTGTTGTTGTTGTTGGTTGATTCTGGATCGATCCAAAACACAATTGGCGCAGAAATAAAAAAAAACCCGGTCGATGATCATCAAATTCAACAGATGATGATAATGATGATGATTCTCAACCACCATAAACACCAACACACGCACACACAAGTGTTAATTACACAATAATAATTTAGCCGATAAAAATATTTTGTGTTAGCAATAAAAAACAAATGATTTATGATGAATTTTTGCAGAATAAAAAAAAAGAAACAGCAAACACAAGACGAAATGATGTTTGTTTAAAGAAAATTCTTTATTTCTTTTTGTTGAGTTTTTTTTGAACAAGAAAATAAATTTTTTTTTCATTCAAATTCAATAAAATTTCTGTTCTTATTGGTTTGTTTGTTTGTTTCAGTTGTTTTTATTACCATGACAAACAAATGTATATGAAGATGATAGTGATAAAGTCATTTTGGAAATATCAACAACCAGAAAAAAAATTCAATAATGTTGAATGGCTGTGTGTCTTGCAGCTGCATCATTGATTCTTCGAATGTGGAATCGGAATCGTGGATTGTTGTTGAATTCAAAATGTTGATGATGATGGTGGTGGTTTTGGTTAAATAGATAACGGTATACACACGAAATACGTTGTATACGAAATCAGTTAAACGGTGGTGGTTGTTTCATCGTTAGTAGTAGTGGTATTTATAGATAAAACTATTTTGTGATTCTCTTATTTTCTGGTACCGTTTCGCACGAAAAAAAAAATAAAATCTATTTTTATTTCACATCCCACACATTACACATTATCTATCTGTAGAATGATGCTTCTACCTTTTTTCCCTTTGTAATTTTTTTATGGATTAATGCAAAAAGATGTTCGAGAATGAAAAAAAATTATTTCCACTGCTACTACTCTGTCTGTGTGAATGCATGTGAATTATGACAACAACAAAAACAACGGTGGTTCGAGAATCAAGAATATTTTGTGGCCAAAATTCTAGAAAACCTGGTATGTATTAATTTCTGAAATGTTTTTTTTTCTTTGAGAATAGTGGTGGTCGTTCTCTACTGTTGGTACCAGTAGTAGTAGTAATTTAATATAATTCTAGAATTCGGGTTCTAGACTAATCATGATGAATGTGATGAAACAACGAAAGAGAATATTCTAATTTCTGTTTTTGTTTATAAATTTACATTCAAATTCTGATATGAACTTGTCGTCATTATCATTATTTTTTTGATGACGATGTACAGAAAAATATGGCTGAATTTAAAAGAATTTGAACAAAAAACTTTTTTTCAAACAAAATGTAAACAAAATTAGCCAAGAAATTTTCGTTGGAAATTTTTTTTTCGCGCGTTACAAAATTTTGAGATTTTCTCGCTCTCGCATCCATTCATTGTCATCCATCACACATTTGCTTGAGATGCTGTTGTGATGTTTTTAGTTTAATGAATTTTTTTTTTTTGGAATTTGGAGTGAAAAATGGATTATTTGACATTTTTCATTGGAAATTAGGTTCTATACACACCTACACACTTATAAATGCATAAATGCATTCTAAAAGTTTTTCTTTCGCTGTTATAATGTTGTATGTTATCTGTGAACGGTTATGTTTTTTATTAATAAAAAGTTCTAGATGTTTTAGTGATGATGAATATTTATATTGTAATGGTCACAATCTAGTGGTGACGCCGACGGCGAGTAATAAAGTTTTGTATTTTTCTTTTTGTTAAATGGAAATCAATTGCTTTTTGATCTTGATTGAAAATAAAACGTGATCATAAAATTATCATTCGCTTTTTTCCATTTTTGTGTTTTAAATTTTATTTTTTTTTTGTTTTCATTGTTCTTGAAAAAAAGATGCTGATGATGATTTCTAGACAGTTGATGATGATGAAAAAAAAAAATGAAAAGTTGTTTTGCTATGTGAAACATCAACATTAAATGAAACAGAATCGACTTTATTTTCAATTTTTTTTTCTCAAATCCCAAAGTTTTATGAAATTTGACGTTTTTTGAATGTCAACATTCATCATTGTACCTATAGGTGATGTTTATGTTTATGTTTATATTAAATAACTTTTTCTTTATTTATTTACATTTTCTCTATTTTGCCCAGAATTATCGAAAAAGTTTACATATTTTTTTGTTTGTTTGTTTGTTAATGCTTCATTGTTTATTTTATTTTATGCCCTGTATTAGGTGTCATTTTCAATATGGATCGTATGTGAAGAAATTTCGTGTTTCAAGGATTTCGAAATTCTGTCATATATTGTCATCATCATGTGAATATGAGAAATATGAAAATGTAATGTAATCCAATTATATGTGCGAAATATTGAAATTTCGATGAAAATCTTGCAATAAGAACCTTGGCGTCATCTTTTGATCAACATAGTCACTAATTAATTCATGTAAGTGCTGCTATCTGTTATTAGAGAAAAGAACTATGATTCAATTTCACCTTTTGTTGACAATTTCATCTTGTCAAACAATTTCAAAAAGAATAAGAATCATTATGATTATAGTTAGATTTCAAATTATCTTTATTAATTTGAATGAATCAATAATTTACAATTGTAGATAATAATTGATAATGTTTCGTATTCATTTAGAGTAAATGTATTCGGTGGTAACATATGTAAAATTTGACTTGATATGTACAAAATAGAAACAATGAGTGAGACCTATGATGATATATGATGGCGTGGTGTGGTGTGACATTCTTTTGAATATTCAAAAATTCTCTGATTATGGCCACATGTTCACGAATCATTTGCTCTTCGTGGATATTCTAAATTATCAGAATTTTTAGAACGAAAATATAAAAACAAAAATTTGTATAACAACAAAAATAACAATTGTTTTTTAAAAGCAAAAAATAAAACATATTTAGTAGTGTGGGTGACACATCATCATCATTATACATGTGTTCCATTATTATTACCACTGCTGCTATGATGATGATGATTGGATAAATTAATATTACCAATCGGTGAATGACCACCAGGTGATGAACTACCACCTGTACTAATTACACCACTACTACTATTACTATTACCACCGAGACTATTTGTTTTATATCGATTATGTGTTGTCGATGATGATGATGATGTATGATATACACCAGCACTTAATAAACGATCATTATCATGATCCATAATATTATTGTTATTGATCAAGGATCGATGATAATCATTTGTCGTTGATGTTTGATCAACATTACTATAATGACTATTCATAGTTAATGATTTCGTTGATGGTGGTAATCCATTCATATTAGCAGATGATGATGTCCGTACATATGGATTAATAAATTGATCACCAATCTTCCCTGTTGATGTAGTAGAATTATTATTATTCATAATTGTATTTGCATAACAATTATCATTATTATTGCTGTTTAATAATAGTAGATCATGATGATTTGATATGGCAATGTTTTTATTGCTATCTAGATTTGATGATTGATGATTAGGATGACCAGGATTCTTTTTAACAGTTGAATACAGATGATTATTATTATTTTGAAGCTCCTGTTGTTGTTGTTGATAATGATAATTTGTTAATGAAATTTTTGCCTAGAAAAAATTACAAAATTAGAATTTTTTTATTTTATTCATATTTCACACGTGTTACCTTATCATTAGTTGTTGTTGTTGTTGGTGCTGGTGGTATACCATTGGCATTACAATGGCTTGAATCAATTTTATCAACAAAATTACTACGATGACCACCATAATCATTTAATGATGTAGATAAATAATGTCCATGATTGGTGGTTGTTTTCGTTGTTGATATTACTTGAGCGCCACCAGCATTGGCCATAATTAAATTATTCAATTGTGAATACGGTGGTGAATATTGTTGTGATGATGATTCAGAATGATAATCATTATTATTATAAATTGGTGGTAATCCATGATGATTTTTTGTTGTTAAACTATTTTGATGATTAGCTGTAGCGGTGGTCAATAGATCACTTGGATGATGATGATGATGCGGTGATGTGACGACTGTTCCATTTGCACCATTTGTAGTCAATGTAGTCAAAATTTGATTCGACCCATTCATTTTCATAATTGTATTTTTCATCATTAAAATATTTTTTTCCACCATTTTCGAATCATCCTCAGCCTGGATCACCATCGTTCCATGATGATGATGATTATTGTAATAATCTAAACTTGAAGATCCAAATCCAATTGATCGATGATGTTGACCAATTGCTGCTGCTGCTGTCTGCATAGTAGGATTATTTGTTGTCGTTGTTGTTGTTTGTGAATCCAATTTTTTCTCCAACGTTAATGAATGATGATCATTATTACAATCATCATCATTATGGAAACGTTGTGAACGAATACAAATAAATATCAGCAATGATGTAATCAATACAAAAATGATTGCAAAACAAATGATCCCACTTAATGTTAATACTAATGGTGATAATATATTACCTGTGAGTAAAAATATTGATTTAATTAATTGAAATTTGATTAACAGTGATATTAACAACATACTTTGTTTCTGTAATGTTATAATTTGTGATTGAAATCCATACTGGTTCCATACTGAGCAATTGTATTGGCCAAAATCCGACTATAAAGAAAATGGAGAAAAATATTAAAAATTTTTGTTGAAATTCATTCATTTCTTTTCTTTCTTTTTTTCTTTTTGTTGTTGGAAATCAAGTAGCTAGCTAGTTAATTTGAAAAAAGTCAATTTTGATGAAAAAAATGACTGCTTAAATGCTATGGGCTATAAATTGGGAAGCACACAATTCTCATAATGATAATGAGGATGATTATGCTAACAAAGATCAATCTTTCAAATGATATCGATATATATCATGATGATGATGATGATGATGATGATAATGAACATTTCGAATATATAAAAATAAAGCTTCCAGCGAGTTTTTTTTTCTTGCATCAAAAAAATCATGATACTATAGAAAATACGAAATAAAATCAAAAAATTCTAATTCAATCTGAAGAGAAAATCGAGAGATCAATAAGAAATGTAAAAAGACAGGATATTGATGTAAATCAATGATGATGATTATTTCGTTCGTTGGCTGTCTTTTTTTGAACCTAATAATTAATTATTATCGAAAAAGATTTTTCGTTTCTGGTTTATTTCGATTTCACATATACATTCAAGTAGCAACATTCAACATCATCAAATATGATGATGAAGAGAGGATAATTGCTTGTAGACACATTCACTAACACAGTACCTGGATGAGCTCATACAGTGATTTTTTTTTGTTCGATAACTAGAATTCTGTTTGGAATAGGAATCTTTTCTCGAAAACGTAAATGAAATCAAGAAACGAAAATATCATTATACTAATAGCCAAAAAAAAATTGGTCGTTGCATCTATATGAGTGCGTATAAGGCAGATTTACCTTTTTTGAATGGAATAATCCATCACACACACACACACACACAGAGACAAAATTTGATCAATTCTAAAATCATCATCAAGATTTTCAATTAAATATATGAATCTCATAATATTGATGATGATGAGAATTTTTTTTCTTTTGGTTGTTTTGGTTACATTGTTATTTCGGAGTTTTACATTGTTGTTTAAGCAAAAAGAAAAACGACTCAAATTTCAATTTGTGCGTATATATAGGATCAATCTCGATAATTGATCAATAATAATAAGAACAACAAATAAAAAAAAAGAAAATCCTGTAGCAAAATTAATCAGAAATAGAAATCACAAAAAATCCCAATTTTAGACTGAAAAAACAAACTTTGAATGAAAATTTCATTGACTGGACTTATCGATATTCAATCACATTCCTGGGCAATTTTCTCATTCCATTGTATTTCAATGCATTACGATCAAATTCTCTTTTTCTTCTTGAATTGAATATTAATTATTATTATTATCTCGAGAAATGATTGAAAAAAATACAGAAAAGAGAGAGAGAATGCACCAAGATAGATTGATTATAAGCTTAGAAGGAGAGAAAAGAAAAAATTTTCAATTATAAGATTTTTTCAGAGTGAAAAATGGACAAACCTATTTGTTATGAAGAAGCATCATTTTTCACCCAAAAGTTTTTTTACGAAAGAAAAAAAGACTGATATCAAAGTTGTGTAATCGATAAGAAAAATGATGTTCCAAAACACAGTAGCTAAAAAACAACAATCGCTTTCGGGCACAGTTATTATCTTATAATACCGAAATGAAATTGGATTTCACAAAAAAAAATCACAATATTTGACACTTGAAACATTGAAAAAAATTCATTATTTAATTTACAGACAGAAAATTGAAATTGAAACATAATAAACATCATCATATGAAGACAAAACATGTAGAAAAATCAATTGAATTGATATGATCATTGATTGTATCGATATCGATAGTATCGATTGAATTGTTTTCAATTTTCTTGTTTGTTTGTTTCTTCTGACAAATAACTGTGTGTCTGTACAGTTGTATTTCAATTTTATTTTTCAATTATAAAATGATTAATAGCATCATCAATCTATTGATGGATTGATAGAAATGTTTTTTTTTGGTGAAACAAACATCATGTCTTGAAATAAATGATTTTCACACACACACACACACACAAATGATGTGTAAAATTTTTCAAAATTTCGATAATAATCCTTGCTTCCAATAATCTATTGCATTTATTGGATCAACACTTTATTGTCGCACTATTTTTTTCTCTGGTAAATAATAAAAATCTACACACACACACAAACACAGACAGATCAAAGAACATTGATAGCAAAAATCAAATGTTTATGTGATCGTTTTCGTTTTTTTTTCGATACAATCATTATACACCAAATACATGATGATGATGATGACTAAATGGAAGTAAAAAAAAGAAAAAATCATTGTCAATTCATGTCACACACACACACGTAAACATACGCAGAAGATTAAAATAACAAAAAAAAATCCAAAAGAAAAAACTATTGATACTTACTATCCATAACCTATAAAGTAATAAAATAAATGAAGTAAATCACACACACACACACCAAATCAAATGAAAACATAGTCAAAAAAAAAACAAATACGAGAATAGCGTAGCATTCATTCGTGCTGAATTGTGCATTTAGTTTTTTTTGTGCGTTTGTGTGTGAATCTTTTGCGATCATCATACGAATAAAATATTCTGGAGCCAACTTCCGTTTTCATTCATTCAACAGAATTGTTGCTGTTGTTTGGTCAATTATCATATCAATGACACATTGTGTTGCTACATTGAGCAATTGGAATTTTTTTTCTGATTCACTATTGCAATGATCCAGAAGAGAAAAGAAGAATAAGAAAAGGAAAAAGTAAATGTTTCTTTTTTTCTTTTCTTTGTCATCATCATTTTTCTGGTATATACGAGAATTTTCGTTCTGCACTATAGAATCGGTAACAGTTTTTTTTCTATTTGGTCAACAATATTCCAGAAACATATACATACATACATTTATTTATTTGAAAACATGGCAAGTGAATTAATCAAATAAATAAATTGTATTAAAAGACCTACTGTGTATATGCATTCAGCAACGAACAAACAGATTTACAATATGGTGGATAAAAGTTTCTGAAAACTGAAAAAAAAGAGAGACAATATATCCAAGAATGAAACAAAATCAGTTAACATCAAACAGTTGTCAAAAAAAAGAATCAATTTACACACACACACAATGACAAAAACATTCATTTTTCCTAAAAACAAATTACATGAAATGAAAAAAAGGGGAAAGAAACTATGACCAATGTGTTAACAATAGAACAAAAATCCTTTTTTTCCAGTAATAAGACTACTACTGGATGACTTATTACATTTCATTTTTGTTTTGTTTTGTTTGTTTCTGTGGAAAAAAATTAATACTCTTTATTTATTTCTTTCTTTCTGGTAAATGTCAATCATTTTCTCGTTTCTGTGTATATAGTGTTATTTGAGTGTTAATTATCGATAAAATTTTACGAGAATAAAGATTTGCAAAAACAAAAGAAAAAAAAGTGAGAAAAAACTCTGTCAATCAAAATATCAAATATATAATATAATCGATAGATTTTGTTTTGTTTTCTGGATTTCAAATTCACATCGGAAAAATTATTACGGGCTGCAGGAAAAATATATTCCGATTACAGTAGTTTGTAGCATGCCCATTTGTCCATTTTAATATGATGCTAAGAAGCTATAGCTGAGATAAGATTCATTTAGAAAAAAAAAACTAGGCTAATATTCGTATTGTATTTCAAAAGTCTCTCAATCATTCTCGATGCTTGTGCAATTTGATTTTTCGACAAAATCAGTTTTTTCTTCTTTGGAACATTTGTGTGTGTGCATCTATACTCCGGGGCCCAAAAAAAATATAGAAAGTCCAAAGAAAAATCAAGAGAATCGTTGAGGCCCAGAAAGAGAAAAAAAGAGATAAATCTACAGAATTGGTTCTGAAAACACAAACTTTCGAAAAAATATTACAAACCAACTAACCAACCAAAAAAAATAAAAAATAAAAGGCCAATTAATTACGGCACACACACATACATGAAGAAAAAAAAATATAAAAGCTTAAGATTTACATTTAGAATCACATTGGGATTCGAGCGCGCGATTTTTGTAGAAATAAAATGTAGGGAATGGAAAAAAAAAAAAAAAATCCATTCAATCTAAAAAAATGTTGGTTGGCCAAAATCCGAGAAAAAGAACCCTCTTGTGTGAAACAAGACAATATTTTTCACACACATACCCACAAAAGGCGAAAATCATTGAAACATAAACGATAATAAATATGGCTTTGCAATTTAATTTTAAAGAATAAAAAAAATTGTGCAAACTATCCCAGGAAGAATTGTACAGTTGCACAAATGAATTCGCATTTATAAAGGACACACGTTACATCATCATCATCATTCATATTTTACAATATGGAATTATAGAATAAAGTGAAAAAAATTAAAATATTAAATTCCCGATTGATAATGCTCAAGAAAATGAGAGTGAAAAAAAACTCTAGTTATTCTATAATTTAAAATTTGGATTTTTCACTGCAGATAAATCTATTTTTTGCAGTTCTATATAATCATCAGGTATTCAATTTTTTTTTTTTTTTGAAGGTTTCAGGATCCAGCCATAGTATAAGTACATTGACCGACAGCTAATTAAATTGTCTTGAAATTTCATTTTTTGTATGTTGCTAACTAGCAATCAATAAAATTGAAATTCTTGTGTTCGTGTGTGTTTTCAAGTGATTAGATAAGTATATAGAACACATACACGAAAACAACAGCAAATGTGTCAATCATTTTGATCAGAAGAAGCAAAAAAAAAATTGAAAAACTATAATTTAAGATTGGATGTGCACAATTCACATTTCACAATTCATCACACAATTAAACAATTTGAGATTTTGTTGTTGTTGTTGTTGATTTTTGAATATGATAACAAATGACAACCATATGTGGTCTATTTTCAATGGTTCAATTAACAAGAATGACCAATTTCTTTTTTTTTTTTCTTTTTATAGAAAATTCAGCATGTTTTTTGTGTTTTTTATGGCTCCCAAATGGACATCATCATCATCTTCATCAATGACAGAATCATGGAGAGAAAATTGGTGGCAATAAAATCATTACAACAAACAAACAATCGAAAGAGAGAGATAGAATTGCTTTGAATTTCAAATTCAAATGAGATGCATTACATTACAATGATGATCAAATGAAATGATCTGATTTTTTTCGGTTCTAAAAATACGAATGATAAACACACACACACACACACAAAAACAGAGAGAAAGTTTCTCATCATCAACATAATGATAATAGTCAGCTGTTTTTGTTGTTGTTTTTTTAAGTTCAATTTTGGATTTAAAAAAATTTTCCAAATTGATGATTTTTTTTTTGTTTCTGTGTTATCATCAATTGGAATTCTTTCTTCTCGAAAAAACGAAATTCAAATATTCAATCTCATTAAAGGGTATATATCCAAAACTCGTGGATATGAAATTGGATCAATTATTCTTTTTTTTCGACAGAGAAAAAACGATCTTGCTTGAAAGTAAATTTCTGTAGTTTTTTCCACACTAAATTGACAACAATCAAAGAAAAAAAAACTAGGGCAAAATAAAGAAATAATACGGATCAATAAATGAAATCAAAATCATCATCATCATCTGGTTTCATCATAATCAAATGTGATGATAGTTGTTTTTTGAAAGCCATATTTCTTAGACACACACACACACTAATCAGATTCTAGGATCGAATCAAATGAATGAATGGATGAATAAAAATTCTAGTTCATAAGAAAATCAATGATGATTATCATAATGATAATAATCGATTCGGTCGATATCATTATTTTATTTGTTTGAAACAGTAGTGAAAAAAAAACAGAATCCAACTACATAATTCCAACTATAGAATAATTCTAGAAAGAAATTATCATCATTTTGCATCAAATGTCATCATCATTATGATGCAGATTATAATCATGATCATCATCATTATATGAGATTTTGATTTTATTTTTTTCCGATGAACATTCTTCTTTCTGAAATACGGATAAGCTCATCATTATTATTATTAAATTCATTGATTACTACTACTCTATAAAAATTTTTGCAAAAAAAAGAAAAAGAACATTTTCTTTGAGCTCATCATCATAATTGGTCTAATTTGATTCAAATGATTTTTCATGTTATTAAAAAATAAAGTTAAGGAAAGTTTCCAAGAAAACGAGGAAATTTTCAAGAGATGAAAAAAAATTTCTACTTACATCTTTAGCACGACGCATATATATGATTGATCGTAATAATGCCAATGATGTAAATGGTAATTGTTCATTACCATTTTCAATGATATTTCCATTGTCATTACCACCCACCACCGTTGATCGTCTGTGATGATTGTATCATAGCCAATGATGACGATGATGATGTAAGATATGATGGTGATGATTGAAACATTGAATAATCATCAGGATCTTCTTCTTCCAGTATTTCATAACCTTCATTATTATCGACACCAAGTAGCTAGAAGAATATTATTGAAAGAAAAAACGAAAATTCAATCAAAATGTCAATCAAAAAAAGATAAAAGTATTTTTTTTTCTCAAAATCATAATCTTTGGAACAAAATGCATCTTATCATTATTCGTTCGTGCATCATCATGATCCCATCAATAGGAAATCAAAAAAATTCAAAATCAAAAAAAAAATGATGTTTTTTTTGGTAAATCTGGGTCATAATCATATTCACAATCGTTTTGTTTTTTTTTGGGTGAGGTTTGCGTTGCTCCTATAGCGTGGTAGGTGTCATTCATTCAATAAAAAACGAAATTCGTGAGTTATGATGATGACAATAATCATCATCATCATCGTTTCGAATGAATGAATCATGAAAAGTTCAATTACCTTTGATTGACACCATTCATATATCATTTGTATTTTGCTTTGCTTTAAATGGGCGTTTTTTCGGTGGATCATTTCCGTTCTTTCTTGTTCATATATTTATTATTATTGCACTTGGCTTGCATTGCATTGGTCACGAATCTCATTTTTTCCTGTTTAGTATATTTCAAATGAAATCTCTATATTTCTTGTTTCTGGAATCATTTTTTTTCATATTCCATTTATTCATAAAACAAATTCCTGTCATTATTCATTGGAATAGCCTCTTTTTCTATCCTTTACTTTTATCATTTTATCTAACACAGACATATGAGATTTGTGAATAGAAAATTTTTTTTTTCGCATAAAACACAACATACCTGTTGATATGGCTGCAATTTGAACCAGGTAATTTTTGTTGGTGGTGGTACCGCTTCAACAATACATTGTAATCTTACTGGTTCATTTTCAATACCATATTGAATGGATGGACTTCTTATTAATGGTGCACCTGAGTGAGAAAATAGATTCAAAAAAAAATCGGAAATGAAAATATTCACCAATTTATTAAATAAAAGTTTACCTTTAATAAATACCAATGTTTCAGCTTTAAGTTCAACATCGAATGCATTATTTTTTGCCATACAACGATATCTACCGGCTTCAGAAATCTGTATCGATTGCTCATTATCGCCGACACCATTATTGATTGATTGCCAATTATTATCGTCAAAATAATGATCATCAATTGATGATAATTTGGGCATGAAACGATACCAATATATTCGTGCTGGTGGATAACTGTCAATATTACAATTCAGACGTACGTGTTCATTTTTAGCTAAACCAATTACTGGTTCCGGCAATTTCGAAAATCGTGGTTTGAATGCTACTTTTATTTCTATTCTTACACGTGTTGTACCAACACTATTCGCTACTTCACAAGCAATATTCGTACCATGAAATTCACGACCAATACGACGAAATATTAAACGTGGTGTACCATCACCACTTGCAGTAGCTGCTGAGGAAGCAACACCACTGCCGCCACCCCCAGCGCCAGTAATATCACCATCACTATTCAATGGAACACCATCACGACTCCATTTGAATGTCATCAATGATGGATTACCGATTGCCAGACATTCTAATGTAAGATCATCACCTTCACGTACAAGGCCACCACCACCATCATTATCATCATCAAGTGATGCAATACGTAATTCAACTTCTGGTGGATAACGTACTTCCAGTTGAATATGAGCATAACGTGGTGATTTCAATGCAGCATTTTCCGAACGACATGTAACACGTTGTCCATCTAATGAACGACTTGCCACCACTGTCCATTTCAATGCAGCATTCCAACGTTTTCCATCCGGTAATTTTGTTGTGGAATATGATACACCATTTGTTATTGGATTTCCGTTGCTATCCATCCAGGTAAGCTGTAAAATAAAAGTGGAAATGAAAAGTTAATCATCAGTGGAATGAAAAATAAATGATGGAAATTGACAATATTGTAAAACTTTTGATTAGAATTTTGCCCAAATGAAATGAAATGAGAGTTGTTCTTATTTCCATATGTGTACGATAAATATACACAAAAGTAAAATTTTTAGATTAGAATTACAATAATGACGATGATGATGATGATGAGGATTGTAATGATATAATGATAGCTAGAAACAAACAAACAAACGAGGATTTGAAAAATTACATCAAGATAAATATAGCAATCGATTTCGATTCGATTTTCAACAATAGCGTGAAACAATAGTCGATTTTAGATTAAAAGTAAAAGTAAAATGATCATCATCATCATCATTATTATCGTCAATAGAAAACGAAATGAAATGAAATGAAACCAATATTACGATAAGCGGAACGAAGTACAAAACAAAACAACAGTAATAATCATAAAAAGTGGAACAAAACACAATCCTTTCATCGTTTTTTTTCAAAGTTGGTTACCATCAGCTATAATGAGACACACGAGATTTAAAAGAAAATGAAAAAAGTATTTGGAACTTCTGTTTTTTTTTCTTCACAAGAATTGTTTCAATAATATTCCAATTGGAACAACTTACACACATAGCTAGTAAAACAATGATGATGATGATGATGATACGGCTATTTCGATCTAAATCGAATTGGTCACATATTTATTCTTGGGTCATTTTGTTGTTTTTGCCATTCTATCTATGGTAATCACCATCCTTTGAAACATTATGATAATGATATATTCTATGGAAATCATCATCATCAACGACTGATGTTCATGAATTGGATCTAATTCTTTTTTTCAAAGTTTAAAAAATGGAGAATACCCAGAAAAAAAACTAATTATCAAATTCGCTGATCAAAAGAATTTTTTTTTGTTGAAAAAAATTGAGAATAAAATTAGAATTTGTACGAAACGAACAAAACACACACACACACACACACACACACTGGAGGGGATGAAAATTTTAATTAGCTTTTCAATTTTTAGTCAGACTGTAGAATTGTATTGGGGCTTTTTGACATATGAATTTTCTCAGAAGAAAAAAAAAATTCTGGAAATATTTATTTGTTCAATGTTTTCCTCAGAAAGTTTCTTATTGTAGACTTGTCATGATACAGTTGACTAACTTTACTCTTCAATTCCTTGTAGACGAATAAAACGAAAAATCAACCAAACAGCCACAGTTAGAATCAATGAGAGCTAATTACTTTGAAAGCAATTTTGACACTGACACCATGTACAACATTTCAAAACAGAAAACAACGAAAAATCTCGAAATGAATCAGAAACGAATCAAAAAGAAGGAGTAAGAGAAATCCATTCACAGGCTAAAAATCCTGAAACCGGAACCAATTAATTTTTTCTCTGCACTTTTCCTCATCTTTGTACTGACAACATTTCACATTCATTTTAGTTTTCATCTTCGTTTACAGAATTTAATTTGTTGGAATTTTTCGTTTGTTATCTCGAGAAAAAATTTAATTTTACAGAGAAGAATTAAAGGATCGATTGTCAAATTCCGATATATCGATATTTGTTTCGTGATCCAATCGTGTCATTTTATAATCGTAATGATGATGATGATCATCATCATTGGATTCCAAGACGAAAACTTTTTTGTAAGCCGTTTTGGATAAACTTTTTTTTGTCGATAGAACAAAAAATAATGCCTGAAGAATTAATTTGATCCACTATAAATACCGGACGAGACACACTCACAACCAGACATAACACACGCAAAAATAACGACGAAGACGACAAATATCAAACTTTGAACTCACACACACACACAATCGTTTTTTTTCTTTGGATCAAACTTTTTTTCATTTCTTCTTCGTTGTTATCTTCGGGCTGAGTTTTTTTCTGTTGCGAATAAGACAATGATGATGTAAGACAAAAAAATCAACAACAAAAAATGCTGTTAATCCATATAAACAACGACAACGACAACAAAGAAAACGTCGAATAACTAGAGAAAAAGACAGAAGAAAATTAATTGAATTTAAGATATTTAAGATGATGTGTTGTTCTCGGCATCGTTGCTGTATGACAAGATTGTGATCATGGTGCAACGACAAAAATTTTTTCTGGTTCCAAAATATTTGTCGTTGTCAGAAAAAAACTAATCGAAAAAAATGCCAGAATCGATTGGCAAATTGAATTTGGATTTTTCTATCCATTCAGTTCGAGTTCAATTCTCAAAAGTTTTGGTTTATGAAATGAAAAAAAGTGTTTGTGACAAACAAAGCACTTACCTCAGCTGGTGGACGACCTCCGTGTGCTTCACATGTTAATTCAATAGTCATACCGGCTGTTGTACGTAGATTATGATCATTATCATTCATCGTTGACTTTTGATTATTATTAATTGATTGATCATCTGATGATGATTCGAATGATGTAGATGATACGGTAAACATTGAAGAATCGACCTGTTCATCATTTGTTGTTGATGATGATGATGATTTATAAACCTGTGCATGTGAATGAGCATGTGTCACAATAATAACCGGAGATTCTGGAGGCACTTGTACAGTGAAACGTGCTGAACGTGAACGTATTCCTGATACACCACCTTCAATAGCACCAACTTGACATTGAAATACAGCATCATCTTCCAATGTTACTGGTGATATTTCTAATGAATAATCACCTGGAAATACAAAAAAAAACATCATTAATAATCATGAAAAAAATCAGATACCAAAATGACAATAACTGACAATGATCAAAAATATCACGAAAAAAATGTCTTTAGTATTCAAATCTCGTAGTCAACCAAAAAATAACCATCAAAAGAAAATAGACAAAATCATCATACACAAGACAGCTAATGAATATCGAAAGAAATAAATTATTCATCACTGATCAGATAGATTTCTGTTTCAAAATTCAATTATACAGCGTTGAATTTTTTCATGACACAATAATACATTTTTGAGTAAAAAAGCAAGAGAAACAAAACATGTGCTCTGAATTGTCTTGTTCAAAAATGACGTTACGATTTTTGGTAACATTTCTTGAATTCTTTTTGGAAAAAGAATATCATTTTCTATCCAAAAAGTCAACCATTTTAATCGTCTTATAATGGAAAACTTTATAAGCATGTTGTTGATGTCTAAATTAATTCTAAAGTTTTTTTTCTGAAAGTAGAATTTTATTCGTTTGTTTCATTAAGGCATTCAAAACTATTGTTGATCTCGATTCAAACAGAAATGAATCAATCAATCAGCCAGTATATTGATTAAATATTGATAGATAACATAACATCCGGGAATAGATAGCATTCGATTTTTGTTTTTCGTGTGCGAAAACAAATTTGGTCCAAATTCGTTTCAGTTTCGCTGCAATTTGTTTGACTAGCCTTTGATTAATGATTCGAAAACCGAAAAAAAAACAACAACAATTTTTGTTTCCACTTTCTAGCTGTGTTTCTGACAAATTGGACACCGGATCGGTTATTCGGCTTGTTTTTTGTTCCGATTGCAAGGAAACAATCCGAATACATTCGTACCGTTGTTGTTTTATCAATTATAAATCGATTAATAAACGGTTTATCATAATTATGGATTCGGTTCAAGAATCCGAATGATATGAACAAAAAGAGAAAAATTGATTCAATCAATTATTAAAAAAAATGTTCAAAATTGAATTCTCATTCATTTCTGGAATCGTTCATGAATGATGTGATGTTATGTGATTTTTTCAAAAATTTTTTTCTGGCCATTCATCCAATATTATTGCCGAAACAATGGAAAAAATGGATCCAACTTTGGTCGGTCACACACACACACACACAAAGACACAGAACTGTCCACTATCAACATGAGGTGGTATTGTTTGGTTCCATTTTTTTGCATTGGTCCGAAAAAATGATTCTATAGAATCGGAACAGAAAAAAAATTGGACAAAAAATCGACTACCATTCGACCGTCAAATCGGAAATCATTATCCATCGTTGTTGATGTTCGCTTTTTCGCTTTTGATGACGTTCTTTTCTTCTTCTCTATTTTCATTTTTCCCATTATTTGACATCAATGCGAGAAGAAAAAGAAACAGAAAGAGAAAAAAAATCAAAAGAATCAAGTTGACAATAAAAAAAAAGATGTGCTACCCTGATCTACAATGATGGACAACAACAAATTGATCTGCCAAAACTAAAGTGCCACTGAACATACACAGTTCAATCGCTCACCTACACTCTACACAATCATTGACTACTCTAAACATCTTTCTCTACAATGAACAGCAACAACAACAAAAAAAACGGGAAAATAATAGCCCCAAACATAGAGAGATATATTCGTCGAAATGGAACACACATTAATTCGGTATCTATTTTCACTATATGTGTGTGTATATTCCAAGAATTTTTAAACAATTAAGATTGTTGAATGAAATATCATCGTCGTCTTTAAGCAAGCAGGGGGTGTGGACACACAAAGAAAAAAAATGAAAAAAAAAAATCCAAGGCCTGATCATCATCATCATTATTTCTATTAGATCAACATTGTCCACTGAGTGTGTGTGTGTGGAAAAAAAAAATTTTTTTTTGCCAAAAATGGGAAAAAAATTTTTTGAAAATAACGCCCACAAAAAAACGAACAAAGCACTTAACAGCAGAGGGGGTGAAGTGAAAATGGACTTTACAATAATTTATTTTTTTAAAAATCCATCTCCAAGTTGTTTATTGAGTTTCATTTTTCTTTTTCACAATTACAATCAATTATTGGAATTTGGAAAAACAAAAAAAAATTTGAGATTAAAGATTTTGCACACAAAAGTGTTTTTTTTGTTTCCGAAAATTTTTCCACACAATTCAAAATGATGATGATCAATTTGCCAATTTTAGCTAACCATTGAAACCAAACGATTCATAATGAATTCAAGAAATGAAAAAAAAACCACAAAAAAAGTTGAAAATGATTCCATTTGGTGGGTTTCAAAATATCGCCTAAACAAAAACTGAAAAAAATACGTTTAACGGTTCAATTTTCAATGGATTGACATCAAGGGATAAAGAATGTGTAGTGGGGAGAAGAAGAGAAGATTTCCCATTAAATCACACATACACACAAAGAGACATGATAAATCACAAAAGTTAAGCTAGCCGATGAACTAGAATTACCGAAATGAATGAAAGAGAAAAATTTACTTCTGGAGAAACTTTCAAAGCAACCAGAAACAATCTTTCTTTGCCTTTTTTTTGTTGTTCCAAAAGAGAAATAAATTCCTAGAGTCGAAAAAAATGTATGTTTTTGGCCATAGTAGATTACTATTGCTGCTGTTAATTTTAATTTAAAATGATAACATTTTTTTTCGCTCATGACTTTCATCTTTTCTCTCTTTTTCGGACTCAAAGCACCGGTTGGTGGTGGTGGTTGGTTGGTATAAAAGTTTTTTTTCACTTCTTTTTGCCCCGCTATGAAAACATAGCAATGGTGAAAATTAATGTGAAACAATTTTTTTGGGCTCATTCTTGGAAACTTTCTTTTTTGAAAAAAAAAATTTTGAAATCATTTCTTTTCTCTTCATTTGAAAAATGGATACCGAATTTTTTTTTTTTTCTTACGGGAATTTATAATTTATAATTTTTTCCGGAAAATAAATGTCATGTGGTGAAGAGTGGCAATTCTCTAACCTTGGACCTGGTTTTTTTTCTCTAATTCAAAAACATTGTGGTGGCTATTTGTGTGTGAATGCTGGTCAGGCATTAAATTTTAACAATTTTTTCCGAATTTAAATTTCAAAACAATTTACCTTCATCATCGGAACCAATCATACGATAACGTTGAAATCCTTCCAGTGTTCGTTCCGTACCGAGACCGAAACCATCTCTTGTCCCTGTGGATTCATCGTTTTTGTTTTGTTTTTTTTTTTGGTCAATTTCATTTGCCATCCATCGTTGTCCGTTTATGATTTGATGATGGTGGACACGAAAAAAAACAAGAAAGAAAAACAAATCATAATTATTATTAATAAAAAAAAAGACAAGAAGCTTTTCAAAGTTAAGGTCATTTCATTGTGTGTGTGTATGTAATCACCATGATGATAATGATTACAATCTTCCACAAAGATTTCATCAGTGAAACATAAGTAGAAAAAAAACTAAAACTCGGGCTAAGAAGCATTGAACCATGGAGAATGTATATGAATCAGTTTGTAATCACCAAAAGCAGATGAAATGAAGTGTTCATTTTGTTTTTTTAGTGAAAAAAAATGCGAAAAGTCAGATGACCAGAAGTGGACATTATGTTTTGTAAGTGAAAAAAAAATTAAGCGTCCTTGATAGTTTTCATCTTCCTTCTAAATCATAATTAATATATGCATAAAAATACAGATCATCATCAGTCAAATTTTTCTTGTTGTTGTTTTGGGCAAAAATCTAAACGTTTTTTTTCTTCTTAAAGGGAGTGTTACGGGGTAATCACCTGGATAAACGAATGTATGGAATAATTGTTAATGGAAATAAATTAATCAATCAATTAGATTAAATCAAATTTTTCTGTTTTGTTCGTTTTCAATCAATCAATTTTTTTCACCATAATCGATAGGTCATTTTTGATAATTTTACAGAAGTTTTCTTCTTCAGAATCATTTCTGAATGTTTGTACCTTCAAGGTATCTCCGGTTCACTTTTTCATGTTGATGATGATGATGTTTTTTGATTCAATAACGAGAATTCTGATTGAATTAGAGACGGAAAATCAAGTTCTATAATTGAATCATAGATAGATCATCATTTGAAATGATAATGTAATTTGGTTCATTAGATTGAAATAGTTGATCAATGATAAAATCATCAGGTGAAAGTGTCACCATTATTCAGGAAGACAGACCAAAAACAGAAAAGTTCAATGAAAATTATCATTGTGTCAAGCTTCATTATTATTATTGCTGTTGCTGGTTTGTGCAGTTGTTCACTCATGCGACAATTTTTTTTCTCTCGCTTGATATTTTACTAATATTCAAAATTACAATTGACCATCTACATCATAAATATCACTCAGAAAAAAGAAAAATTCACATGGTACCATACAGCGACCATTTTGATGATGATGATGATGACTCAACGTAAAAAAAAACTTGACAAAGTTCAATAAAGTTCATTGAATGGTGAAGCAGCAAACAAACAAAAAATATGGATACATTTCTGCCATTTATTTCATCAGAATAGCATCCATCCATTCATTCATTAAGACGCAAATGGCCTCAGGTTCTATTATGGTAGATATACAGTCTATTATTGGCATTGTTATATATTCTGGAAGTAATGATGAAACTTTTTTTTCGGGATTCCACCATTCAATTTCTGTGTGTATGTGTGTGTGTGTGTGGACACAGAATATATTCTCGAAAAAGAATCTCGAACACAATGAATAATCTTGGCACACATACAGAGATTGGCTTTGATGGAATTTCTTTCATCGTAATTTTTTTTTTTTTTTTTTTGTCGTCGGCTAAAAAACCAGAATTTGAGCAGCTAAAAACTGAACTTTTTTCCCGTTGTTATTGTTAGCCGACTAATGACTATACGAAAAGTGGGAAAAAAAGTTTTTTTGTTGTTGTTTTTCATGTGTTCATCATCATCATCATGAATGAATCAAAAATGTAATGAGGAAATATTTTCGGAAATATGTGTTCATTTTTGTTGTTATAATGGTTAATTAGAGATGAAAGCTAATGAAATTGAATTATTATTACCACTTCTTGGTACCAGAAAACAAAAAATTAACCTTGCGACAAGTTATTTAACCCGTTTATTCAGTGTTTTTGAATTCTAATAGTTTATATCCAGGATTTTTTCTCTTTCTCTTGGATTGTCGTCATTGTGTTTTTGTAATTCAACTTGACCAGAAAAAAATTTCAGTTTTGAAAAGTTTTTTTTCCACTGGATTTCGCTCGTTTATTCTGGCCATAAAAAAAACTGTATAGCATCAATGAACATTGAAAAAAAAGTTTCCAAGAAAAAAAATTCTGAAAAAAGTTTCTGGCGAGAAAAAAAATCATCGTCATCAACAAAGTCCTGTTATTAATTTATGCCCCCCACTTTTTTCTTTTTGATATTCATGCATCATTCACACACACAGATTTGTCAGTCAGTCTATATTTCATTCGTGGAAAAATAGAAAAGAAAATTTCAAATTTAATTAAAATGATATCATCATCATCATCAATAATGAAAACTACGGCGACAATGATATCAAGTGTATCATCAACATTACAAATACCGTATGTTGCATACACACATACACACAAAATACCGGGTGGTTCAGAGATGACATTCATTTTTTTTCATTTTCATCATTCACACAGAGAAAATGATGTGCATACACATTTTACATTCACTCACTCACAGACAAACAGAAACAACAACAACAAAGACAACCAGATGTTACCATTGATTTCGATGTTTCTGTGGTTTTCATTTCTGTTCCTGTTTTTTGTTTTGTTTTGCAAATTTGATGATGATCTGATCATTGCCGGTATTAAAGTTTTCAAAAGAATCCACTATGAACATACAGAAACGGAAAACGACATGATTTTCATCATCAAGCTTTCAGTAAATCAAATCAAATTAACAGATTCCTTGCATTCAGGTTTTTCTATTTATTAGTGATTGCTTTATTCAAAAATCAATTCATGCTGCTACTTACATTGTAATGTGCCAACTTTATTCGCAACACGACATGGCAATATAATTGTATCACCGACAATTGATGTTTTATCAATTGGTTCCATTTCAAAACGTTGTGGTGGTAATCGTCCTGTAAAATGAGAACAAAAATGAATGATTAAATTGAAAGTTAAAATATGAAAATCCAATGATTAAAAAAAAGTGGAACATGAAATATCAACAGAAATAAAAATAAAAAAATCTTCTGACCAAAACCAAATATTCCTGGAAAATAAATAAACCTGGCTAAATCATCCTAAGCACAACCATTAATGATCATCATCGTTGGAACGATGATAAAATCATAAATCAAATCACACACACCAGAAAAACCCGAAGAAGAGATTCCAGCAAAAAAAGGGACATAAACGATCATAAATCAAAAAAAAAAATGTTTTTTTTTGGAACCTGACGACTAACCAACGATAGAAATTCGAGATTCAACCATAAAAATCTGACCACACAGTAGTAGTTGTTGAGAATCATTTGTGATTATGGCTACCAGTAATATCCAGAATAAATACCCAACAAAAACCATACATTTCGGAAAATTTTGTTTTAGGGTTACCAAAAAATAAAATTCAAAAGACCACCAATCATGATATGATTAACAGTGAAAAATCAAAACGAAAAAAAAATCACACGCTAACACACACCCATAGATACAAATTATATAATTACCGACACCAATTTGTTGCGTATGAAATATTTATTTAGAATCTTTGCTTTCGGGTGGTGGAGGTGGTGGGAAAAAACTTTTTTTGGGGTAGAAAATTTTTTCTCATATCTACGAATCATCATTATCATATCAAATTACCTAAAGAGAACACAAAAAATTGATTAATTGATAAAAAAGAAGAAACAAAATACATTTTCGATGAAATGGGCAAATGACCATTATTTGTTTCCATTTTTGCTAAATATATATCGGTCACCGGATATTTGTTATGTTTCCAAAAAAAAACAAACAAAAAACAATCGATTCTTCGATGGGTCAATACCATGAGTGGAATATGACAATCGACAATGTGAAACAACAACAAAAAAATAACATGTTGTTGTCCGAAAGATCAACAACAAACAAATTGAATTCAATTCTCAATTTCAAGCATCTTCTTAATGGATTCGACACAAGCTGAAAAATAAACGAAAGAAGAAAAGGGTCAAAAAAATGGTTAATTTTTTTTTTGTCCGTAATGTTTTCAAGTGTTCGAGTGCTGCTGATGACGGAATGTGTTTGATGTTTGGTGTATCAGTTTTCCATCTTTCCATTTAAAGTTCCATTTGGATTTTTTTTCGGTCTTTTCAAATTTAAGTGAAAGAATTCGTTTTTTTCACTCAATTTTTACCAGAAAAAACCTTGGCAACAACTTTGTTTCATAACAACAACAACGACGATGATGATGATTGAATTTTTTGAAATTTAACAAGATAAAAAAAATCGTTTCATCATGAAAACCGATGAAATGAAAAATTGATTGTTTGCCATAGCCAAAAATGTCATCAATTTCTTTTCAATCATCAGTCAGTCAATAGAAAGCAACTTCAAATGTGACAAATTTGAATAAAATTATATTTTATGAAACGAAACAAAACGAAACCGAAAAAAAAAATTCTGGCAATAAATTTTAAAATCAAAAAAAAGTGATGATTGAAAACTTTGTTTTCTGTTTGTTTCAATGTTTTTATCATCGACTTTGTTTCTATACACACACACACACACGTATTTTTTTTTTGAATGAATGAAAAAAAATTTATTCAACCATTCGATTCTATATTTCAGTGAATAAAAAACAAAACAAAAGTTTTTTTACTTTTTAATGTGGATCGATATATTTTTTTTTGTGAAAAAAAACACTGATGAACAAAAGCAAATCATGACGACCATGACTGAATGCACTCGCATTGGCTCTACCGTTCCAAGATTGTTGTTTGCCAAAAATTTATCTTATGTAACTGATTTTTGTTTGTTTGTTTGCATATGCTAAATGCATACACATACACACACACACACACATATACACAATGGATAAAAAACAAACAAATAGACGCAAGTGATGCATGATGAAATGATGGCTTCTTTCTCACTGAATGACAGCATGATATGAATTTTCAAAACAAGAAACAAAACAAAACAAAATAAAATCTCAGAATAATGATGGAATGCGGCCATCAATTTTTTTATCTGTAATTCTTTCAATGGAATCATTTTGTTTTTTTCTCTGGTCGAGGTGTGAAAACAATATGAAAATAATGTCTCTCTCTCTCTCTCTCTCTGTGTGTGTGTGTGTACACAATGTACACAATTTATATGACGCGAATCGTTTGGAATAAGAAGTTTTTTATGAAAAATCATTTCAATTCTTATTTCTTTTGGTTCAATTCAGGATTCTTTCCAATGATTCAATTTTAGTCGTAGTAGTTTTTTTTCTCTCTCTCTCTCACTCACTCACTTAGCAGTAGTTCAGATACTATTTTCCATTCTTGGAATGATTTAAATATTTTTCCATCAAACCATCCAAACACACAACGGCCGTATATAAATGTAATTGAGAAATGTATGTATTGAGAACCAAATGTTTTGGGCAAATAACGAATTGGATACTGTATTCTGTGTGTGTGTGTGCGTGTGTTTGTAAAGTGAGAAATGAATCGGTTTTTTTTTCTTTCACCCAAAACCGTTTAGCTTATTATTATTACGACGAGGAATAAAATATGAAAATAAATCATAAGACTATTTTTTTTTTCACTGGCCTGAAGAAGTGTGTGTTGTTTTTTTTCTTGCAGTCAAACAAAACAAAAAACAAAAAAAATTTCCATTTGTTTTTCAGCTAGTTTTTTTTCTTATTCGAACGAATAGATTTTTTTTACACTTGGAAATCTTTGATACGAAAAATCGAAAAAGGTTTTGATTTCGGAATATTGTTTAGGAAGAAAAAAAATTGAACAAAAAAAAATCTCTGTGTGTGTGTATCATTAGACGAGGCAAAGAATGGAAAAAATAAGGGCCAAATTATCATTGGCGGTGAAAACAGAGTGGTCAAAATAGTCGATATGATTGTTTTTTGACCATTTTGGGCATCACAGAAAAAAGATATTACTCGTGAAAAATGTCCCGATAAAACAACAACAACGAAAAAATCATTTTTTGTAAGAAATGTTGTCTCATTGTAAGTTTTGTTTCATTCATAATTCCGCCACGTTTTTTTTTTGTTTTTGAAACAAACGAGAAAAATCTCTGCATTTAATAAGTGCAAATGTAGCTTTGGGAATTCTTTTTGTCTTTTTTTTCGTCATCATCGTCATATCAGATGAAATATTGTTCCAAAAAAAAGATTATTTTGCTCAGATATCATCGATATTGATCAAAATAATGTCCCAAAAGCAAAAATATTAGAAAAATTCTTGATTATAAATGAAATGAACACACACAAACATACCTGAACGACGTATACTGGATGTCATATTAGCAGTAGTAGATGTAGCTGATAATGGATTGAAAATTATTGTGATTATAAACAATGTCCAATATATTAATGGCAAATATTGATTATGTTGACTTGATAAATGATGATGATGATACGAATTTTTCGATTTGACTTTTCTACATTGATGGCAATGATTGGTATATTGTGAGCAATTATGGCAATAATGGTGAAAATGATTTAAATTTTGATTTTGTTGATGTTTAGCATCATCATCTGTGATGAATATCGTCGTCGTTGATGATGATGATGATGATATAAATCTTATACATTGATTATGAGGATGTATCGTTGTTGTCTTTGCCATTTTGTATTTGTTGAATTTTAATTTCAATTTTAAAATGTCATCATGATCATCATAATGATTGATATGATGTAATCGATTATGTCCAGAGCCATCAAATGGCTTCGTTGTGGTCGTTTTGTTTTTCATTTTTTCCAAAAGATTTAAGATACGTGAGTGATGATTTAAAATCCAATCAAACGTTAGATTTTTCCATATGGCACAACTTAGTTACGGTAATTCTATAATTGTGGAAAAAAATGGAAAGAAAAAAATTTTGGCAATTCATTAATGAAATCAAGATAAACATTTCCCGATAATTGAAGTGTTTTAATATAAAAAAGACATCTCTCATCATCATCATCAATGATCAATGATGATGAAACCATATGTTTTTCAAAAAAAAATAAAGGTGATGTATAATGATGTCATCACGAATTGATGCGTGGCACACACACACACACACACACACGGATAATCATCAGATGTGTTGAAAAATTTTTTTAGTGTCTGTGTGTAGGTGTTTTGTGAAAAAAAATCTAGCTCAAATGAAAAATCGATAATTCATTATAATCAATGTGTGTGTGTGTCTGTGTTGAAAAGAAATCCTCAAAAAAAATCAAACGAAACACAAAAAAAACAATGATCATGTTATGCACGAATGAACGTTTCATTTTCGGTGAAAACGGTATTTTTTTCAGCTAAAGATTGTCGCATGAATAAATAAATTCAAGTGAGTCAGTTTATTATGGATCGAATCGATTCAAAGTTGATATGTTTCATCATCATTATTATTGTCAGCGACAAAAAAGAATTCATTATAATCAAGAATTTTTTTTTGCAAGTAAAAATGAATCTTCCACGAACCAAGTGAGAAGAAAAAAAAATTGATGATGATGACTACGATTATCGAATGAATGAAATATCGATTACGTTGTTTCTTTCACTGAACACGAAAAAAAAATTTGAAAAAGAATAAAAGATTCAATCACAGAAAGTTAAAAAAGAAAATGGCTTGTCGTCTCTAGTTGAAAGATTTTTGTATGTTCAACACAAAATGAATGAATCAAAAAAAATCAATCAGACGAAATGAATGAATGTGGTGGCATGCAGTGATTCTTAACATTTGAATTTAATGATGAAAATACTCTGCGTTAATTATCACCGAATCAGAATATTTGCGAGAAAAAAAAATCCAATGAATGTACTATGGACAAAAAAGATTAAATCAGTTGTGGTCAATGATAATGATGATGACAGGCAGACGAGCTAGCATAGACTGGATGAAATCTTATCTTTTCACTCTGATCGAATGGAGATGATTGGTGGTTGTGATGAAAATTCATTGACCAGAAAGTGGATGAAAAAAAGTTTTTTCACAAAAATGATCATCAATTCAATGAATTAATTTCATCCATCAACCAACATCAATGGAAAAGAAAATCAGAATTCGAGATTTAATCGAATTTTAATCGAAAATGGAATTCATGAATTGAATTTTAGCTGACACACACACACACACGCATTGATGATTGAATCATCAAATTGACCAATCTGATCTTTTGCAAGTGGAAATGAAAAAGTTTTTTTCTCCGAAATTATTGCTCAGATTTTCTGGATAATAAAATTTTCGTTCTCCGTGATCCAAGTTTCACTTTTTTTCAGCTGTTGTGATGCCTTGAATTGACAACTTTAACGACGTTTTCGTTCTCGTTTCATATTCCTAGAGATTTAGCAATCGAACGATCGATTGATGTTTCAATGACAACGACAACTTTTTTTTCGTTGATTCAATTATCATTATCATCATCGTTTATTATTTCATTGAATCGAGGAATCATTTCAAAAGTCATATTTTTTGCTAAAAAAATAAAAATTTATAAAAATCGCAAGAATCAGAGAAAAATGAATTCTAATAAAACAAAGACGACTTCAAAAACCCAAAAAAAAGAACCATAAAAGACAGTTTTCAGATAATCAACCAACCATCAATTTCATCTACAAAAAAAAACTCTACATGAATCAAAAGAAACGAACAAAAAATTAAACAATCATGGCCAGTGACAATAATCAATTGAAAAATTGGACAATGATAAAAATGATCAACCATCAACAACAACAACAACAACAACAAATAATCATTAACAAGCTTACAAACACTCACACAGTGTGTGAGATATGGAACAAATGAAAAAAAACAGAATTCTATAGAATTCAATTTGAATTCACACATCAGTTTTATTCGTCGAATAAGAACAACCAAAAAAAACCATTTATTATAAAAGATGTGGTTGGTCAACTATGACGAAAAAAAAATGAGAAAACTTTTGGGAAATTTCAAAAAAAAAAATTCAAGAAATTTTCGAGTTTCTTTCATGGAAATTTCTTGAATTGAACAAAATAAATTGTAAATTCTCCGAATACAATTATCTATAAACCGATATACCGATAATTGGTTTTTTGTTTTCAATTTCAACAAATACAACTACATATGTGTAGGCAGATGGATGAATGTTCTTATTTAGTTGATGATGATTTGAATGGATAGTGTTTTTTCGTTTCTTTTTTTTTATCCATCGTCGTTGTCGTCATCCAATTGAATCAAATCTGTCACAATAACGGAATTAACGGTTAATTGATTAGGTTTATCCGTTGTTTTTGTTGTTGTCCATCGTTGTTCATTCATCTTTACAAGTATAGAAAAATAGTAGTTTCTCATTTTCGTTCTTTTTTTTGTGAGAATTGATCATCAACAACGACGAGAAAAACCGTTAGTTCTCGATAATTCATTATCCAAAATTGTCAGGAATAGATGACAAAGTTACCCAGACACAAGCACATACATTTCGTGTGTGTAAGTTGAGTGGATCCATGTGGATCGATTTCTTTCGTTCGTTCGATCGATCGATTTGAAACAATCAATCGATCGATCGAACTATACTATGTGATGATACAAATAATAGATTTTCATACACAAAACATCCACACACACACGCACGCACAAATAAGACAGACAAACATAAATTGATGACAAATGTACCGGACATTGATCTAAAATAAGCAAAAGAGATTTAGCAGAAGAAAAAAAGACAACTTTATTCCTGAAAAAAAACATTAACGGGATACGGAAATTCGTTTACTTCAACTTTTATCCATAAATCTGAATCTGGATTCAATTTTGACTAATAAATAAAACAGAATATTCGAATATGGCAATTGATCATCTACAATAATCCATAATCAAAAATGAATGTGTTTATCGAAAGAAATAGTTTTTCGTCTCATTTTCCGAAGATTTTGTCAATTGATTTTAGCTCAAACACAACAACAACAACAGAATTTTGGCAATAAATCCTAGGGATTCTGAAATGGGCTAAATAAAACAATGTGAAAACAGAGGCTTAACTAAGAAAAAAAAATTCGGACAGCGTTGAGATCTAATAATTTGTCATTATGTGAGAATTTTTTCCAAAATTCAGTTGCTGGATCATTCACTCATTTATTTATTTATTTATTGATTTATTCATTTTTGTATGTTGTTTCTGTCGAGACGATGTTCATTTTTTTCAAAAAATTCAATAAGGTTATGGATCGTATTAATATCAATTCTTTGTCTGAAAAAAGTTTTTTTTACGATGACAAGTTTATATTCTAGGTACTACTGCTACAACGACATTTAATACATGATTAATTTATTCTGTATGAAAATTGACACACACACACACACACAGAAACACGGAATCGTCTCTTGTTGTTTTGGAGAAATAATAACAACAACAACGACAATAACAATTTCATTTCCAATCAATCGATTAATCATAATCGACGACTACTACGACGATTGGAATATGGTACATATCAATATTGGTCAATTTTTTACACACACACACACACGGAACAAACATGGAACAACTAGCGAATGGTGAGTGAATAAGTTTATTCGGTATCGAAAATTTGACGATGATATCAATCATTTTTCATGTTCACCATATACGATTGGTTATTGAATGTTGGATTATGTGTGTCTGTGTCTGTGTGTATAACCGAAAATTGGAATCAAATTGAAACAATTATTCCGAAACACACACTACTAAAAACAAAAATAATATACTGAAATTGTTTTTCTGGATCAATCATTCGTATCGATATAAAGATATTGATGATGATCCACGAGAAAAAAAATTGTTCAAGCACTTATTTTTTTCTTTGTTTTGTATGAAATAATTACAAGAGTAGGCGTGCACATGATAATGATGATGATACATTAAAAATGGTGAAAAATTAACAGAGGTGGAGATCATGGAACGCCTACGATCTATGGTTTTTACGCTTGTTTGTTTCATAGAAAAAATTGATAACTCTTTCTTTGATTTTTTTTCAGGTTTCAATCGATCGCCATTAATCGATTGATGGATTGATTGATCAATTGATCGTATATCGTTAGAGTGCATATATGTGTGTGTAGGCGTTAGATTAATGTTGTTGTTGTTGTTGTTGTTGTTGTAGCTGTTGTAGGTGTGTGTGTATGATCATTATATTTGAATTGACTTTTTTATTCGGTTGATTCAGAAATTCTTTTTTTTTTTCTCTCTCAAATTTGTTCAACTCAATCAATGTCAATTTGTGAAACAATCATCATTATAATAATGATGATTATTGGTCAACCATCTCGGAACATTTTGATCACCATTAATGATGATGATGATGTTGGAAATTGGAAACGAATCATCAACATCATTAATGATGAAAACAAACAAACAAACAAACAATAATGATATGTGAAATATGATACAAAGAATGTTTCATTTTTTTCATGACTTTTGTTTTTTCTTGTTTGTTTCGCTTGACTAAGCAAAAAAACAAAATCAATCCTTTTTTTCATACATCTGGGTGTGTAAAAAACTGAAACATCAAACGATATGGCAATTGCAATTAGCAAGCAATTTATTTGTGGTTGTTGTTGTTCTTGTTGTTTTGTTGAAGAAGAAAACCTTCTCCTCCGAAAAAAACCACAATTGTGATAAGAATTGACAAAAAAAAAAACAATGAATTTGGCAATCATTTTGGCCAGATAATGATTAGCGATATATATATCGATGATCATCATAATAGCTTCATTATTATTTTGCTAAATCATCAAAAAAATGGTAAAAATCATTGAAGAAGAAACTAGAATACAATTGATCAGCATCAAATAAAGGTATAAAATTTCATTTATAGAATGTAGAATCAATGAATGAAT